ATGCACAGGAGGCCAAAGTTCAGCATTAGTCAATCTGTTGCAGGCTGACATGCACACAGAACGCTGTTTATTCTTCCAAATGAAGCCTTTCTGCAAAAACTTAGCTTCTACACGGCTAAAACGGAATGCCAAATGCACAGGAGCTTTCTACCTTTTAAAGGCTTTGTTAAGATGCCAATCAACATGCAGAGTCTTAAATGCTTTCTGTTCTTGGTGTCCCAGCTTTAAGAGGGATACTTCATCTTTGTTGCTTTGGATAAATCTGTAGCCGTCGCAGTAATGGAGCTTTATGAAGCTATTTAATAATGTGCTAATAGTTTTCAGAAACATTGTTTTAGACTGATGCTGTTATGAAATACTTCAGCCTGAGAAATCATTTTAGAACATATTTCAGTGTAAAAAAACAATGTTGGCTTCTATGGATTTTCTTAAAGCACTTGAAGTCCTTTTCTCTTGTTTATTCAGCCACAGAGAGAAAAATCAACAACTGGCTTGTAGCTATTCAAAAATGTACGTTAGAGACTGATTTATAACCTTTGATCAATAGATCAGTGATGCTAATGATGCAGCATCACTGATCTTTTGCCATTCTAAAGATTATTTGTCAGAGTTGATCATGTAAACCAAGGAACTTTGAATTTAGTAAACTTTTAGAAAAAGGGTCTGTTTGCATTTTTTTAACAGATGCTTTTTGATCTCTGTAAACATACCAGAACTTGGAGAAATGCCACTGAATTAAATAATGAAACATTCTTTTTTTTTTTTTTTTTGTTACCTTGTGGCTTTTTATGTTAAGAATGAACTTCTATTGTTGCACATTGCAGCTCAAGGGATTAAAATATATTGATATAAAGTGAAATATATCTAAAATATTTTCACTAATTTTGTCACTTTACTACCACAAATATTAAGGTATTTCGTTGGTAATTATAAGCAGGGACTAGCCAAAGCAGTTCATAAGTAAGTACAGGAAGAAGAAAATGATGCAAGCTCTTTCAGTTTTCACCAAATTCTCAAGAATTATTTTTGAGTCTATAACAGGTTTTTTGTCCACCTTTCACTCCATCTATCCAAAAACCAGTTTCTATATGTCAATGCTGGTTGAAAAGCATCCACAGAGCATGATGCAGCCATAACCATGCTTCACAATGGTAATGATATGGTCAGGATGATACACAGTCCTATTTTTTTTTTAAATGCCAGCAAAAACATTCAGCGTTCCTCTGACATAACCAGAGCACCTTCTTCCATGTTTGTTGTACATATAATGGCTTCCTGCAAACTGCAGACTCCTAAAGAAGTTATTATTTTCAGTAATCATTAAATAAAATACCAAAGAATGCATGGCAAATAGTTTACAACTTAAAAACCACTTTATCTGTTACCTTTCTGCTTTCGGCTTTGATTGTTCAGTTAATTAATTAATTCTCTTAAAGAAACCTTGGAGTCCTTTGTGAAACAGCTGTATTCACATTGAGCCTAAATTAAACATGCATAGAATCTAATAATCAGATTTTAAGTTGCTCTGAATTTAACTCACTTCAGATGATTAAACACACACACCCCACTTTTCCGATTCACCCTTAAAAAAAATTGCAAACCATGAATTATTTTCCTTCTTATCTAACATTCTGCATTATATTTGCTTGGAGCTCCATTGTACTGAAGATTTGTTTTAACTGAGGAGATACTGTGAAATAATCAGTAGTTACAAATCGTAGCCATTCATTAAAACATAACAGGGAGGTTTTTCCCAGTCTAGATGACCCTTATTGACCAGAAAAAATGCATTTGCTTGAATTTTAAAAGCAATGGAGCATTATTAATAATAGCTTTCCAAACATTTGACTTTTACTACTTATTAGTTATCAGTTTCAGTTTACTAACCTTAAATAGTTTTTTTTCTTTTTTACTTTTACTTTGAACAAATTTATGATATATAATTTCATTAAACTGATGAGCCTAGTGCCTGGGGTCTGCTCTGATTTACAAACTGTGAACACTCAATTAGCTCCCAGTTTCTTCTAAACACTCTTGTCAAACTGTCACTTTGTCTTTTATTTAATCTTTTCATGGTTCAATAAACATATTTTTCTGACTACACAATCAGGGCTTTTTTTTTTAATCTGAGGAATATATAGCTCCAACAATTAGCTTTGGGGTTTTCAGATTTTCTTTTCAAGTCCTTCTTCTCTGATCTCATGTCACAAAATTTGTTTTAATCAGATGCACAGATTTATATTTTTGTACAACAACCATCTGCCCATCCATCCATCCATCCATCCATCCATCCATCCATCCATCCATCCATCCATCCATCCATCCATCCATCCATCCATCCATCCNTCCATCCATCCATCCATCCATCCATCCATCCATCCATCCATCCATCCATCCATCCATCCATCCATCCATCCATCCATCCATCCATCCAGAAAAAAATATTGACCGACTTTCATATAAAAACTTGAGTCTGTTTGGTAGCTTTGTAAACCAATACACCAGCTGCCACTCTATTTTCTGACAGAATATCTAACATCAAATGTTTGCCTTTCCAAAGATTTTGGCCACAGAGGGATATAGGCCTACTTGTTTCGAACTTAGTAGTCACCCAGTTTAAACTAAAAGCGACGTCAAAGGAATTTGAGAAGAATTTAACTGTTGTTGATAGAGTTAGGAGATTAAGATTTTTTTTTAGCACCTTTCATTGTGTTTTTTATTGAAAAACAAACAAACATGAATTTATGGATTTCATAGAGATGATGACTTAATAACTTTTATTGAAAAAGCTGCAGAAACTGAGTTCCTCCAACCCCTGCCTGGCCAGGTTATAGTGTCTCCTGATAACTTAAATAACACCAAAAAAGGAATCTCCAATATTTCTAAACACAAAAAGGATAGTTTATTTTACAGCAGCATTGCTATCAGTGCAGCAGATGATTTTTTTCAGTACATTATGCTTTAGCTTTGCTAGGAGGTTCCTTGTTTGTTTTTTTGTTTTTTTAGGGGGGTTGTTGTTGTTTTTATAACCTCACATATATACCAAAAGGATTGAGTTCTCCATTGTTAAAGTATGATTTAACAATTTTATCAAAGTTAAGAGATAAAATTAAATGTTCTTTTATTTCATATTATTTTTATGATGTTAATTCGATTTCTGCTTTAAATAGAAATGACTTTTTTTGTTTGATGTTTTAAAAATATCTTGCTTCCTCCATTTACTTTTTTTTTTTTATCTTAGGCAGTTGTCTAAATTCTAAATCTTTTAAAAATGTCAGTACTGAAATATTTGATCTCAATAGAGTTGGGTGACCAGCACTTTTCTTTTATTAGCCCAGAGGATGTTGAAAATGTGATTATTTTAAACCAAATTTGTTTCTTAGTTTAATTAAAAACAAATGTTTTTTTAAAAATAGGCTCAACCAACCCTTAAAACGACTCCAGCATGTTTAGATCCTAGAGACATGCATTTTTTCGACCAATATTTCTACTTTTTCTTATTATAAATTAACATTGATTTGACCAAAATATCAGCCTTATATTTAAATGATATGGTTAATGTTAAATTATCTAAAATATGTTTTAAAATATATTTAATATAAATAAAATATATTATTTGTTTATTTTGTTGTGCATCGGCTAAAATAGCATATTCAATCTACCAGCTAAGGTGATACATTTTACATGTTAAAAAATGATGCAGCCTGTCCATCTGCATCTAAAGATGCAAACAAACATAGGTGCAAATAATGCCAAATTGAGGAAACAATGTTACTTAAATTCATGCAAAGGTATCCAGTTGCTCAGTCTGTGATGATAAAGGTTCTCTTTCCCAGCAGTGGTTTAAGTTATTGAGGATGTCAAGTATTGGAGCCCTTGGAGGCTGAGTTTAAGGCTTTTGTCATTAATTATAAAAAAAATTAAACAGCACAACTCAAAATAATAACCTTTTCTTTTTTTTTTTATAAATGCTCCGTACATTTACACCTATCATTCGATCAAAATACAACATAGATATGACAAAGCTGCTTAATAAAAAATATAAATGTTTGATATACTTGCAAATGTACTTGTTTAACTGGTGTCTAGACAAATGTAAAATAAACTTTCAAGATACACACAAATACACCAAGATGGGAAACAGTAGGAGAGCAGCTTTAAGTTTTACTTAAGTCTTATACTGTAGATCCAAGTATAATAAGGAATGGAGTCCAAAACGTTTATTGAGAAAGTTTTTCCTGTCATTTGCACCTAAATAGGAAAAGTCATTGATAATTACAAAGACCTTAAATAAGTGAATTCTTGTATTTTAGGTGTAGTTCTAATAAAAATAGACATTATGGAAAAGAAATGCAACCAAACTGGTTAAAATGCGTCTTAAAAATTAAAAATGCGTGGAGATAGGGGAAAAGGTTCTAAAAGTATCTAAAGTATCTAAAACGTATTCTGGTTATTCCTTTACTGTTTACAACAAGGACAAGAGTTTTAGAATACAGAAGGGGGATTTGGTGTGTTTTATTTTGATTGTAAAAAAAAAAAGATAAAAAAAAAAAAGAATAAAGTTACTTAGACATCCAAAAAGAACAGCTTTTGGCAAATTGCACAATATTCCCCGAAATAAAAGGAAAATAAAAGGCTATCAAATACGACAAAAAGCATAAAGTTAGAGTAAAACTCACCAAAGAAACAGAGGAAAAAAATTGCATATAATGACTTATGTTTTTTATTACTCTGCCACAGCACAGGAGTTTCAGAAATGCTGCGAGAGACACAACAAACACTGCATTTGAATAGACAGGGTGTAAAATTCACAATATAATGTATAATTCAGCCCTGCACAGTGGATTTAACTCCACTCCCCAGCTGGTACAGAGAGCCACTTTAAAACAGCGTGTAGTGCTACAGCCGGGACCCTGAGCTGTTACTGATATACTGCGGCTCCTTTTTGACTGCATTTCACTCCAGAATCTGCAATAGATCAACCCACACAAGAAAGGCACCTTTTTATGCAGGTCTTCATGTTTTCCAGCAGTTTGTTTGGAGGGGGGGTTGGCTCAGTCTTCCAAAACACACATGCTCCAAACTATGGGTGATGCATGGAAAAAGACAGCAGGATTACATAAAGTGCAAATGTTCACACACAGATGTTTTTTGGTGCGTGGCACACACATACAAACTCGTGAGAATAGTGTTTTCCATAGACAAATTGGCCCTATCAGATTGCAGGCCCCGTTGCCATGACAATAAATTCATTTAGCCAAAACACTAGTTTCTTAATTATGACTTATTGTACCCTCCGCCCTATCCTGTGGGATAATTTTTTTCCCAGCATAATGCATAGCAATGCAGCCCTTAAAGAAGAAAACTAATTGATCAAATGTGACAGAAAAAACTCTGCAATGCTCAGACATGAAGCAAAGATGATTACTCTGGGAATAGACAAAAAAAAATTCTTGAAGCTTAATCTGTTAAACTCCATCTCCAACCGTTTAGCATTTTCTATACTTAAATGTATTATGTCTGGTTTAAAAAAAAAGGGGGGGGACAATTTACATCTTTATTTTGAGAGTAACTGCATTCCTTAGCGATGCACACCAGCCACAGAAAAAGTAATAATTTGCCCCGAGAAAGAAATCAAACTCTGTCAGCAACAGGAAAGTAAAAGGAAATCTGTTTTTTAAGATATAGTGTTGAAAATCAAATAAAATGAGGCGGCAGACAGATAAAATGACATCAGATGCTAAAATTGAGTGCTCCTGCAAAGACAGAATTGCATTATGGATGTCAAAACAAGATTGTGGGTTGATGTATGTGAATGGACAGATTGCTTTAAATTACATTGGTACAATGACATTGCCTACCTAAGATAGAAAATTATTTGAATATTCCTTCCTTTGAGCTAGCGAACTTCTGTGCAGTGTTACAGAATCTAAAACAGCCATTTATCTTGTGAACCATTTATTCAGAAGGGGCCTAAATGGATTGTTTTCTTTGATTCACTGAAGCCTAAAGCACCATGTGCTTTAACCAGTGTAGAATTTTAAGGTTTATGTTGTAACTGCTTTGAAATAAATGCAGATGTGCAAAATGCTTTAAAAAAAATATTTTACTATACAGATCTTCGTTTATCAGATTTTTTTATTTTTTTAGAAATTGGTAAATGCTAGATAACAGAAAAAAATGTTTTTGAGCTTACAACAAAAAAGCTTAAACTGTGAGTTATTTTCTAATTTGGCATTAGTGATTGGTTTGATTGCTATATGCTGTGAAACAGTATTTATCTTTTTGAAGATTTCTTTAGTTTTAAATGGATTTTCCTCACAACTTCTGTTTTCAGTTAGTCAGAAAATGCTATGACTCTCCCCTTTTGGACTTTGAGTTTTTAGTTTTCGGTCATCTAAGTAATTCTGTTTTGTTCATCTTTGGTTTATTTTCCTTTTTTTTGTTATATTTAAGTAGTCTCAAGTTCTCTCTGTTGCCCCCTTGTGCCTGCCTGCTTTCACCTGGCTCCCATCTAGTCACTTCCATCCACACCTGTTCCATATCAGTTGATTACCCCAGTCTTTGTTCTGTCTCCCATATATAGGCTGCATTTGGATTCATGGGCTGCGTCTTCCAAAGGCCAGATTCACAGGCTGATTATGTCATAGCGCGGCGCCGAGGTCTGGTCGGATTCCAAGACTCCTTGTAATGCGGCCATAAAATGCGTTCTTTTTTTTGCCTGATTTGAAGGATGGGCCTGGTGAATGCTATCTATCCTTTGTTATCCAAGGATTCATTGCAAGGCCAAGCAACCCGGCTGCTCCGTGATCAGAGGAAAAAGGTACTTGGTGCCGAACAGTGGTGAATATTGGAAGTTCAGTTTAATATAATTCAAGTATCTGAATATTTCCATCTGAAATTAATGAAAATAGTTGTTTTAAGTGGTTATTGGATCAGACATGTGGCGGGTAATGTTTGATTTATCTAAAGGTTTTTATCTGTGTAAATGGGTTTGGCTGTAATTTAAGGACATATTCTAATATATTTGCAGTGTGGGGACTATAAATCTGATTTTTTTTATTACTATTTCGCACAATTTGCATGTTTTTTGTTGTTGAAAATAAGAGAGTGTACAGATATATTTTTTATACATACATTGTTTAGATTTACTTATATCTTTCTACCCCTTTAAAGAATACAATACAATGGAATAGAATAGAAAATTATTTTCCCACAATGGGGAAATACTGGTGTTTACAACAGTAAAAAGATTATAGGTAAAAATGGTCACAAAAATGTGGACCTTAGAAAAATGTATAAGAATAACATAATAGTGAAGAGTTAAAAGATAAACAATAAAATACTATAATGTAAAATGTTTTAACAATATAAAAAAAAAAATAAAAAAAAAAGCTTGCCCTGAAAAGTTCAGTATTCATTCTATTCCTGCTTTGTGCGTCACTGTCACGGTTGCTAAGCAAGGCAAGGCAAGGCAAGTTTATTTGTATAGCACATTTTATGTACAGAACAATTCAAAGTGCTTTACATAAAACATTATAAGCAAAAGGGAAAGAAAACAATTAAAAACAATTAAAAGCGTAATTAAGCGACAGAGCTTACAGCGGTAAAAGCTAGACCTGTTTGAATTCACAGCTAAAACTCTTCCGGTCTCCTTATTTTCACGGACTTGGAAGGATCCAGTCCAGGTAGACCGCGTCCTTGGAAGACTCAACCAAATAATTCGAATATACCCATACTCTCCCTTTGCAGTTCTTCAGTGCTTGTTCCTTTTTAATTCTTAGCAGCCCATGACGTTTCCTGGGTTTTCCGGTTTGATTCTTGGATTTTGTTTCTGTTGCCCTTTTACTCCATTAAACCTACAAGAACTCATCTCTGCCTCCCTCATCTCTGCATTTGGATCCTCAACCAACCTTCACCCTCGGGTTGACAGAAAAATGTTTATAGCAGACAATGATGGAGGGCAAAAACCAACTCGTAACATCACATAGGCCGTGTTAAAGAATAAACAACACACCTCAAGAGGATTCTGAGACTGTTGAGAATGGTTTCTATGGATGGATGAAATGAAATGGCAGCATTATGACATAAGACTACTAAGGACTGAGGCATCTTTGGATGGATCGCTTTCAGATCTTTGAAGTCCACCTCTGAATAGTAGCAAAAATAAAGATTTTGGAGGGGCCTTTCGTGACAGACTATACTTTAACCTAAGCTGTGTGATGCTTACACATATGTTTAATGACCTTAAATATTAAAGTTTCAGAAACAAGTGAAATCTGTAAGGGTGCACGTAGGTTTTCTAAGCTATTTTGATGCACATGTGTATCAGTGGACATGCTTGGATGGGGGACTGAATGTTTCAAAGAAAATTTAAAGAAATGTTAAAGATTAGGAGTATGATGGATATATTCTGACAGACTCTAAACGGTATGGTAGGATCTGCACTGACAGCCCTCGGCTATGCCTGCAAACCAGCTAATAATAAACCTCTTCTATATGTGAACTCCCAAGAGTCAAATATAGCTGTGGTGAACTTGTGCTGTCACTATAGGAGAAAAGAATATTTGAATGGATTATCTATGAGCCTTTCTTAAATAATAAAAACCCAACAACGATTGACTGCAGAGACAGCAAACTGTACCTACTTGAAGAAAGAAAGATTCAAACATTACCGTACAAGAGTTACAGCAAAGAATATGATTAAAGAGACTGGGAAGCAGAGAGTGGGCACATTGCTACCCTATTTCTACAGCTGCTATGCTTCGTTCTTCCTGCATGTTCCCTGCTGGAAAATGCTCCATCCATGGGGTGCATGCAGATCACAGCATGCAGGAAATGGCAAGAGAGAGAAGAGGAAGCAGAAGTGCTGCCATAAAGAAGTTGATAAAATGTTTGATTCTGGCTCTATTAACTTTATTTCACCATCTGATGTCAGAAACGGGAAAGCATCTGCTTTAGTGGCACATTAGTTGTAGCTGGGTACAGTATGGGACCAGAGAGTGCAATAAAAAGGTAACACAGGTGGGAAGTTGCTGCAACGCACCATGCAACTTTGATTTAGAAACATAGCAAGGAGACAAGTCATTTAAAATTAATTGTTCCTCAACTTCAGATGTCTTATTTCAGGAACTCTGTAAATAAAATACACAGTGTTGATTAACACGTTTTCTGTTTATCCAAAGTTTTTTTTTTTTTTTTTTTAAAGTTAATTTTGAACAGCCATCTGCTTCAGGAAACAAGCTTCTACTCAGCGTCCTGTCACGAACAGTCAGCTAACTGCTATCCAGACAGAACAGGAGCTATTTGATTATTTACAGCTATTCACATCTACATTTTTCCACCAAAGTAGTTCCAGCAGTTTGGAGCCAGTTCTTAATTGGATCTATAAAAGCAAAGAACATGTTTGGTTTTCCACAGCCAAAGAGCCAGCATGGAACCACTGCCTCAATAAAATGCTTCTTCCAGTAAATGTTTGATCTTCTTCTATTAGTATCCCTAAACACAATTCAGAATATGTTACTTCACTAATCTATGTATGCTATGTTAAACACCAAAATATGTATCATAACTAGAATAGCTGAATGCCATTTTGTTTTACTCTGAACAGCATTTACTTAAGTTTTATAGCATAGCATTTATAGCATTTATAAAATCAGTTTTAAAAGCTGATTTATAAATGTCAGGTGGTAAAATAAAATTAAAATTCACTTTATGAAAAGTGATTGCACTTCTGTTATTTCAGAGAAAACCTGACTTTTTGTTAATGTTGTTTTTTTTTTTTTTTGTTATTTTTAGTCCTATCTTAAGCTGATCTAAGTCTAGAATCTTGAAATGGCATTCAAAGCATTTCAACCTGGAGATAAAAGTTGCAATTAGAAAATAATACATTTATTTATACGGGTAAAATCACTGTCTTCAAAATATTTCTGACTGAGGAAAACCAGCTGATTGTCAGGACTGCTGTTTCTCTGCAATCCCTCGTACTGAGCATGCATGTAGTGACAGTGGAGAGGAATACTCCCTTTAATCAGGAAGAAAACTCCAGCAGAACCAGGCTCAGTGTGAGCGGCCATCTGCCGA